GTTCTAATCTCACCGGCTCAAGGTTGACTCAGCCTTCCATCCTTCCGAGGTGGGTGAAATGAGGACCCAGACTGTGGGGGCAATAATGCGGACTCTGTAAACTGCTTTGAGAGGGCTGAAAGCCCTATGAAGCGGTATATAAGTCTAACGGCTATTGCTATTGCTAGTATGTCATCTACCACCAACATACGATTAATAGGAGGCTAGCATCATGATTTTTACTGTGATTATAAAAAATTAGCTGATACTTAAGAAATGAAGATGATGCCAGAAAGTTGTTGTTTAAATTGTAATGATGTATGAAAGTAATACATTACAGTACCGGTTTCTCAAATTCACATATGACTTTTAAACGTGATTGGATCCTGCCCTTATAATTTTATAATCAAGTATTGTTTGATTTTTTTTTTTTTTTAGGTTTGCAAATCAGAGTTTTATTGTCATCTGAGAACTACAAAGTTAATTATCCAAAGAGATGGCATATCAACCAAGCACCCCCATATCCTCTGCCTCTTTCAGTATATAGCAACATTTATGTATATTTGTACTTGTTTATAAATGCACAAGTTTTAATGTCCCCTCATTTGAATTGAGTGGACTCTTGACTTGTACAACATTAAAAACTCTTGAGATTCACTTGAACTCATGAGATTCAGTTTATTGGATGCAGACTGGGAACAATGGCCAGTAGTGTATTTTGGTTTCAAATTAATTAATGGATGTGTTCTCTTTCTATTGTTCAATCATTAGCAGTTGAAGAAACAGCTAACCTGCCTCCTTCTCCACCCCCATCACCTGCGTCAGAGCAGACTGGAACCCTAGAAGAAGGTAAGAATTTCCTTGGGTCGCATTCACAACGTAGGTGCATTTTTAAGAGGAGAAATCCAGGAACCCTGGTGAAAGAGAAAGAGAGGTAGGAAGAAGATTCTTTAAGTCTTAACTTATAGATTGAATGGGTGGGGTTTCAAAAAAATAACTGAAAGAATATAACCATGCAGGCTTAATTTAAATGTGTGTGTGTGTGTGTGTGTGTGTGTGTGTGTGTGTGTGTACATACATCTATATATTTTGAAAATATCAATGAATATGAACTATGTACGTTTTTCTTTTTTTTCTATGAATATTTTAAAATGCCATGCTAGCGTTCGCATTTCAAACAGAAAAAACTTCATTAGATCTATTCATACTGATCCTGTGGCGAATAATGTTCTTTAAAATGGGTGTTCTATGCTCTTACTAACAAAATCATTCTTTCAACATCTGAGCCAGGCAAGCTTCATTAAGACACAGGGCATCTAGCTGAAGAGGATGCTAAGGTTCTATTTTAACTATAAGAATGTTTATATTTCTAGAATTTTTGACAGATGAATTTCAGACTTAAAGTAGGTGAAGTGTTTTTCTAGCCCTTTATTACCAAGTGGCTAAAAATATTCTAGACTGAAATTCTTCCTTTCCAACTTGTTTCAGGTCTATCTTTTAATACAAAACTTGTCTGGTGCACTAAAACTGAAAAACTCATTAGATTTCGAAATATTCTATTTGTTCCGAGTTTATATATAAAGAAGAAACAAACAGAATTCTATTTGCTTTATTGTATTTGCACTTATCCTGTGAAGATACGTTTATAAGGAACATATAGACGCCAGGAGTGTGATAGATAGATGTCTTCAAATAATATTGCAACTCCTTTTCCCTTTTGTACATCCATAAGCTAATTTATTTCTGCGTGTAAGTCTATGTGTAAGGGCACAAGGAATGGCCTTGCAGTGCAAAAGGAAGAGCCACTAGAAAGGCAACAATTGGATAAGCGGGTCTCGAAGCCAGGTCAAGAAATTCGTTTGAATAAATGTCTCAGAAAGGCCCCTTTGCTAATTCTTAGTAAGATAAAGTGGGGGAAGAGAAGCACAATCATACTTGCAATATTCAGTTACTATAACTGTTACAATAAAAATAATCCTGACCTATATGGCTCCCTATCTTGTAGGGAGGTCCATTGGAGCAGTCAATTTCTTTTGTAGGTTTAAAATGTGAGATTATGAGGAAACTGTGATTTCCATTTCAGCCTTAACGTCTCAAATTGTGGGCTTGCAAACAACCTAGGTGGGGACTACAGGATTTTAAAGAACTGGTTGTGTTTGTGCAAGCACAAGGGGAGTACTCTCGCAACTTGTTCCACGGGACTGGTTGTCTTATCGAAATCATTCTTAGTTACAGAAGCACTGTGATTTCTAGCTGGTTTACTAACAGCTAATGTCTTCTGGTATGGGACTAAATCTGAAGACCTTTGAATATCTGTGGAAGTGCATATATTAGGAAGGGTCAGTATTTTTATCCATTGATTAACATTTGTAGGCTTTCAAAATGGAAAGGGCTTGTTAAGTGGTAAGAAGAAAACTAAAAATGATTACTTTGCCTGTAATGCTGATGAAATTAGCCTCAGAAAATGCAGTGAAGTTTATTCTAGTAAATCTAGGTTAAGTGGTAAGTGTTTAGTTGTTAGTAAGATTATAATAACTTTTAGTAAGTAGTAGTTTCTTAATTATCTAATCCTAAACCCAATGAAAAGCATTAGTTTTATTCATGAATGAGGCACATAACTACAATTATCATTTTTACAGTATCATAAAGTTTGACAATTTTTGCTTTAAGGTATTAAAGAGATTGTAGTCTTACAAATATTCCATTTAAATATGCAGAAAGGCTATTAGAATATATGTAAGATATATGTAAGAAAAAGAAACTGCCCTAAAATATTTTTTTAAACATAGAACATCCAGGCCAAACTTACAAAAAATTGCTACATTTTCTATTTCCATAAATGCTATTTTTCTCAGGGAATTGCAAGATAAATATAGGATGAAACTATCGGTACTGTTTAAACATTTTTCAGCCATCTGCATGATTTAAAAGAGATTTCATAACCAATTCTAAGCACTTTTGGACTGAGTTGTTTTGCCTTTTGAAATATGGACACTTGAAATTAAAGTAATTCAAAGAGAGTCATACACTACGGTCACAAACAATAAAGATCAGTTTTCCTTAAGAGCAAACTTCTTTAAGATTAATTTGGACTATAACAATAGAAAAGGAGAAATGGATGCTTAGCAATTGCTTGTGTTAAAACAGCTTCACACGAAGTGCCAGTTGCCTAAAGACATATCCCATCCAATTGTTTCCATAATAATCTTTTTACTCCATACAAGCAATACTCATTTTAAAAAAAAAATGGAAGTTGAAATAATCATTACATTTGTTTTAGAGTCCAGTGTTTCTCAACCTTGGCTACTTGAAGATGTCTGGGCTTCAACTCCCAGAATTCCCCAGCCAGCGAATGCTGGCTGGGGAATTCTGGGAGTTGAAGTCCGGACATCTTCAAGTTGCCAAGGTTGAGAAACACTTAGACTATGTGGAAATCTGCATTTCAGAAGGTGAACTTAGCAATAGAATACCATAAAATCAGTTATATTAACATAATTATATTAACAACCTACTCTTATCATTTGTAGAATGTTTATCCATGTTTTTAATCACGTTTATTGCTATGATTTTATTTATGTTTATTTTTGTGATTTCATCAGTTATACCTTTTAAATCAATAATTTGAATGAATTACATGAAATTAATATGACTAATTTTGCTTCGTTCATATTTCCTTTAACAGAAACTTGTAATTGGATACCTTCATACCTATAGGGATCAATCTATACCTTCATTGTCTTTTTTAAAAAAAGAAACAAGTTTTAAAAAAATCTTCTAAGCAGTATCATTATTAGTTCTCTGTATAAGGTAGGATGCGAAATGCGAGTTTTGTCAGGTCAAACAATGTTTGATGAGGTAAAGAATTGTTGCATTAGGTAATAATATGCAAATATATCTTTAAATATATTGATTCATATTGACACCGATATTGCTGAAATGGAACTATCGATTGATAGTCATTTAGATTCCTATTATTAATTTATCTTTAAAATGAGGGTGGAAGCTGTTGAATGTTGTTTCAGTTATCACAATTATCTTTCTTGCAGCTCCCAGAAATGGTCCCAAAGAGAGCCAAGTGTGTATTGGATATATTAAATATAACCAGGTTGGAAAAAGACATGTTACTCAATTAGCTAACGTGGAAATGAATGACCTTTTCTCTACTATTATTCCCATGTGCACTTAAATTATTACATAATTTCCATTGGCTCAGTTTCTTATGATAAAATACTATCTAAATTACTCCCTTGGCTCGTAGGAAGCGACCTTCTTTTTTCTTGACATTTTATGCAGCATGCCAAATGTATTTAACTGTTATTGGTCTGTATTCAGAGGAAACTTCCACTGTGACCCTAAAATTGGCTTTGAAACGTTCTCTTGCTTTTCCACTAATTTAAGTTTGTATAACCCTAGAGCTGATTAATCTCCAGGAGTTTTGAGGCTCTCAAATGCCAAATGTATTTAACTGTAGTTTACTCAGTTTTTTTTAAAAAAATGAAATATTCCTGGGTTACTGTGACTCAGTAGATCAAGTTGTTCCTAAAGTTCCAACTGGTAATTTGAATTCGTTATTTCTGTTTTTAAAAGTATCTATATCTGTAATAGTGAAAATTCTGCTTCTAGAAATTAAGTACAAAGTAAGAATATTTCTTAGGAACCATGGAGCTACCGGTATAATTCAAATATATTTATTCAGACTGTGGTTGTGGTTTTTTTTTGGTTCAAAAGTTTTATTTCTTTTAAAACAAACATTTCATCATTCCTCAATCAGTAAGACATCG